GGCTAATTTTTGTATTTTTAGTAGAGACGAGGTTTCACCGTATTGGCCAGGCTGGTCTCGAACTCCTGACCTTGTGATCCGCCCATCTCGGCCTCCTAAAGTGCTGGGATTATAGGCATGAGCCATCGCACCCAGCCTTTTATAGGATTTTGAGCAGAGAGGTGATGTTTGGTTTGTGTTTGAAGAAGCTTACTCCTACTGGTGGGCAGAGAATAGATGGTAGAGGGGAGCTGGGAGACCAGCTTAAAAGCTGTAGTTGTAGTTTCAAGAGAGGTTGTGCTGGCGTGGGTTAGGGTAATGTTAGCGGATATCGACAGAAGGTTGTGTATTGAGAAGTCTAGTTATGAACCCAAGCTGTGTTTTTGGAGCCAGGTTCCAGGGTGGGGAAAGGCCCCATCAATCCCACTATTTAGCAGTTCTGGATATAAACAGAGGATCAGTGGTGATTGTCTTCAGTGCAGTAGAGAAGAGTGTGTGGCTCTAAAATATGATGGTAGAAAGGGTTCTCACACTAGTCTGAGAGGTTATGGGAGGCTTCCCCAGTGGGACTAATTCTCAAAGCCTGAAGGTGGCCGGGTGCGATGGCTCACACCTATAATTCCAACACTTTGGGAGGCTGAGGTGGGCTGATCACTTGAGGTCCAGAATTCCAGACCAGACCAACCTGGCCAACATGGTGAAACCCTGTTCCTACTAAAAAATACAAAAATTAGCCAGGCATGGTTGCACATGCTTGTAATCCCAGCTACATGGGAGGCTGAGGCAGGAGAATGGCTTGAACCCAGGAGGCGGAGGCTGCAGTGAGCCGAGATCCGGCCACTGCACTCCAACCTGGGCGACAGAGCGAGACTCCGTCTCAAAAAAAAAAAAAAAAAAAAAAAAGAAAAATTAGCAGATGTGGTGGTATGCACCTGTAGTCCCAGCTACTTGGGAGGCTGGGGTGGGAAGATCTCTTGAGCCCAAGGGGTGGGGGTAGCAGTGAGCCAAGACGCACTGCACTCCAGCCTGGGCAACAGAGCCAGACCCTGTCTCAAAAAAAAAATAGTACATGAAAGGATTAACTCTGGAGAGAAGTCATATGAATGTAAGAAATGTAGAAAAGCATTGAATTCTCTCAGGTCCTTGCGTAGACATAAAAGGACTCACTGGAGAGATACTCTATAAATGTGTGAAATTTAGGAAAATATTCTTTAATGTTATTTCATTTCAGATAGAAATAATTCTCATTGGAGATAAACCCTATGAATGTAAACACATAGTAAAGCCTTAATTAGCCTCAATTTCTTTCAAATACAGTTATCCCCTAATATGTGCAGGAGATTGGTACCACCACCCCCTGGGCATACCTAAATCCACACATGGCAAGTCCCTTTTTAAAAAAGATGTATTTGGGTTAGGCACAGTGACTCACATCTGTAATCCTAGCACTTAAGGAGTCCAAGGGAGGTGGATCACTTGAGCCCAGGAGTTAGAGGCCAGCCTGGGTAACATAGCAAAACCCTGTCTCTACAAAAGATACACAGATTAGCTGGGTGTGGTGGCATGTACCTGTACTCCCAGCTACTAGGGAGGCTAAGGTGGGAGGATCGCTTGAGCCTGGGAGGCTGAGGTTCCAATGAGTCAAAATCACATCAGTGCACTCTTGCATGGGCAACAGAATGAGATCCTGTCTCTAAAAATAAAAAATATTTACATATTTCTTTCTTTTTTTTTTTTTTTTTTGAGATGGACTCTCATTCTGTTGCCCAGGCTGGAGTACAGTAGCGCGATCTTGGCTTACTGCAACCTCCACCTCCCGGGTTCAAGCAATTCTCCTGCCTCAGCCTCCTGAGTAGCTGGGATTACAGGTGCCTGTCCCCACGCCCAGCTAATTTTTGTACTTCTAGTAGAGACGAGGTTTCACCATGTTGGCCAGGCTGGTCTTGAACTCGTGACCTCAGGTAATCCACCCACCTTGGCCTCCCAAAGTGTTGGTATTACAGGCGTGAGCCACCGCGCCCAGCATTGAAGTGCATTTCTAATAGACAAGTAAATTGCCTCTTATTTTATTTTTCTGTTTAGAGATAGGATCTCACTTTGTCACCAGGATAGAGTGCAGTGGCATGATCATAGCTCACTGTAACCTCGAACCTGGGCTCAGGGCATCCTCTTGCCTCAGCCTCCCAAGTAACTGGAACTAGAGGCACACCCTGCCACACCTTGCTAATTTTTTCTTTTTTTTTTTAAGAGATAGAGGTCTCACTATGTTGCCCAGGCTGGCCCCTCGCTCCTGGCCTCAAGCAATCCTCCAACCTAAGCCTCTGAAAGTGCTGGGATTGCAAGTGTGAGCCACGGTGCCCAGAGATATGTTTAATCCTTAGATGGTTTTAAACTTGCTGTATACTAAAGAGCTTATGAAACATGATATTTTGGTATTTGTTGTGACTTTACCACTGGCCTTTTGGAGCAAAGAAAACCCTTCTTCTCCATCACTTTCAGCCCATCCCTGAGCAGTATGGGCTGACTGACAAGGGGGACCCGTGTACTTTTGCTGCCTGCTGGTGCACACGCTTCGCTGAATCCCAGACTGAGCACATTGGTTGCCATGTGCAAGTGCTACAGCCTCGGCACACTGCTGACCACACATACATCCTCCTGATCAGTTCCCATGAGTGGCCATTCCTGCACTTCAGGAGCAATGGGCCAGGCCATACCAGTGCTGGGAAAGTGGCTTCGCCCTGACCACATCATCTTCTTAAGGATGTCTCACTTGTCTCCTCTCCCAGTTCCAGCCCCAGCCCCTTGCTGCCCCTACCTGAGATGTTCTGTTAATTCAAATATCCCAGTGGTGAGGAATATGCAGTACCCTTATGGCTGGGTCAGGTTAAGGGGGAAACTTGTAAGACGCACTTCTGAAATTTCACAGGGAAGTATGGATCTTCAAATTCAGCTTCTGGTTCAGCAGGTTAGGGACGGAGTGTGAGAGTCCGCATTTCTAACTCTCTCCCACGTGTCATCGTGTTAGTCCATGGAACATAGTTAGAGTGCGGAGGTAATAAAAGACATGGTTAGATAGGCAGTAAGGTTACAGTTTTATGGGATAAGTTATACTTTTAAAGATCGGTTACACTTTTTTTTTTTTTTTTTTGAGACAGAGTCTCACTCTGTCATCCAGGTTGGAGTGCAATGGTGCGATCTCGGCTCACTGCAACCTCCGCCTCCTGGATTCAAGTGATTCTCCTGCTTCAGCTTCCAGAGTAGCTGGCACTACAGATATCTGTCACCATTCCTGGCTAATTTTTGTATTTTTAGTAGAGACGAGGTTTCACCGTATTGGCCAGGCTGGTCTCGAACTCCTGACCTTGTGATCCGCCCATCTCGGCCTCCTAAAGTGCTGGGATTATAGGCATGAGCCATCGCACCCAGCCTTTTATAGGATTTTGAGCAGAGAGGTGATGTTTGGTTTGTGTTTGAAGAAGCTTACTCCTACTGGTGGGCAGAGAATAGATGGTAGAGGGGAGCTGGGAGACCAGCTTAAAAGCTGTAGTTGTAGTTTCAAGAGAGGTTGTGCTGGCGTGGGTTAGGGTAATGTTAGCGGATATCGACAGAAGGTTGTGTATTGAGAAGTCTAGTTATGAACCCAAGCTGTGTTTTTGGAGCCAGGTTCCAGGGTGGGGAAAGGCCCCATCAATCCCACTATTTAGCAGTTCTGGATATAAACAGAGGATCAGTGGTGATTGTCTTCAGTGCAGTAGAGAAGAGTGTGTGGCTCTAAAATATGATGGTAGAAAGGGTTCTCACACTAGTCTGAGAGGTTATGGGAGGCTTCCCCAGTGGGACTAATTCTCAAAGCCTGAAGGTGGCCGGGTGCGATGGCTCACACCTATAATTCCAACACTTTGGGAGGCTGAGGTGGGCTGATCACTTGAGGTCCAGAATTCCAGACCAGACCAACCTGGCCAACATGGTGAAACCCTGTTCCTACTAAAAAATACAAAAATTAGCCAGGCATGGTTGCACATGCTTGTAATCCCAGCTACATGGGAGGCTGAGGCAGGAGAATGGCTTGAATCTGGGAGGTGGAGGTTGCAGTGAGCTGAGATCACGCCACTGGACTCCAGCCTGGGCAAAAGAGTGAGACTTCGTCTAAAAACAAAACAAAACAAAACCTGAAGGTTGACTAGGAGTTACACAGGCAGGGGCAGCTCCCAAAGGATTTCTGATGGAGCAAAGGAGAGAAGAGAGTCAACTATGAGTCTTATTTTCAGAGCCCCTGGGTGCTGCCCCTCACTCAGAGGAGCGAGGCCAGGGGAGATGATTGGAGGGGAAATGAAGGGTTATGTTTTGTAATCACTCATGGCATGTTTGAGTC